AGATAGAAACTCCGAAAAGAGGGAAACTTCAAGAAAAACTCACTTTGTCTTAAAGAAAAAGTAATAAACTGAATATAGATACACGTAAAGCGCAGTTGATGCACCTGCCATGAAACTGGTCCACCTCCTGTAACGAACTCTCCATACGATTTTAGGTAAACGAAAGCGTAGTTAAATATAATCGCCTCAAAATATAGTCGGTTGTTTTCGAAATAGTGCCCCATATGTTACCAAGCAACCTCATTTCCACTATCCGAAGGGCTTCTTCTATTTATTGACCTCTTTCGCACGCCTGCGGCCTTGCTTTGCCAATTCGATTTAGTCGGGAAAAATCATCCCTCGCTTTCCCACGATCAGACACTGATCAAGGACGCTTCGTTGTTGGTATCAAATTAAACAAAATGAACGCCCAACGCTATTCTTATGATTATTGTGTTCGTCACTAAGATACAGTACGAAACCTAGAACAGTTTAAAACCAGTGGACGGCTGATGGAATGGCAAGTCAGGCTTACTACTATAGTAGCTGAAATGCCAGCAAGATTTCGCAAGAAAGTTCCCCGCTTATCGCAGGAACATTTCCAAATTCGGGCAACCCGGAGGACACGATCAATAGCGATGTTTCCGAAAAAATTTCACTTCTACGATATCGACCGTGCAATAAGTCCCCTTTTTTCTCGAGATTCATATAGGTTTAAATCACAGATGTGCAATATGCATCCTACAATATAAAGTCGTTAAAAAAACACTTGGTCACTCACCATCTATAATCTTCAGCATTCAACAAGAAGTACGAGCAAACAATTGTAACGCAGACAGTGACGATTGCCAAAATGATTGTTACAAGAAGCATGAAACCGTATACGTAGTAGATCTTGTATGCCCAGAATGATGTGAAAATAAAGTACCTGAAAAGTTAAAACCTCAGCGCAAAAGGTAAGAGCTTACATTGCTTGCTGTCAGTTAATCAAATGCAACTCACATCTCAATGAAGATACTCCCGAATGGTAGAACACCTCCCATCAACACGATCAACCAAGGCTGTACAAACCATTTCTTATCCGGGATTGGGCGAGGAACAGCGTTCACTCTGGAACAAAATTAATAAAAATGAAGACTTCGCCAAACTCCAACTAATAAACTTTTTTTACCTGCATGGATAGTCTCCTTGACCGGACATGTTACGTCCAAGTACAGTTCCAACGAGTGTCAATGGAAGAATGACGAACAGGCAAATGGCAGTGACAGCCAACTGAAAATCAGTGAAATCGCAGTACTGATGAGTTCATCCCAATCAAAAGCTGAAGCCAACCGTGCTAGAGGATTGGAAAAACGATGATGTCTCATATGAGGGAGCCCATCATGAAGAAATCAACACATTAAAACCCGGAGAACGTATAGCATAACATAAACAGGCAAAAAAAAACTTGCCATTACGGTGAAAGGAATAGCTCGCGAAGCATGGTAATAAATAGCTATGAAGTTGATGAGGAATGCAACGCCGCACACCTGGAAAGAACGGCCAATGTAGAGCGTTAAAACATAAATAAAAGTCACGTTTAAAGGTCGAAAAAGCTCAGTGGAGAATTGACAAAACAAGGCGAAGCGTAGCGCCCTCAAATTTCTTTGAAAAATTACTTCAAAAGTAATAAAAAGCGAATTAGGGAATCACTACAGTTCCACCTATGTTGCTGTTGTTTAGACCCTTTTCATTTTTGCACAGAAGTGCAAAATGACCAAATTCGTCCATTTGAAATATAAAGGCTATTCAGAAGGCGAGCCTCACTGCTGCTACATAAGCAAATCGCAATCAAGACAATGGGTGTCCTTTTAATAAGAGATGCTGCCTCTACAAGAAAAATAACTCTGTTCCCAAACCGACCAGACTCGGGAGAAGAAAAGCTCCAAGAGCCATTTGCCGAATCCAGTGCCTTCCACCAAACCTTGCATACATCGATCCACCGGCATAGCCATTCACAGGTGAGCTTGCCGCGTACACAAATATGGCCGCAGAGAGAAGCGAGCCACGTCTAAAGCAAAATCTCAAGTTAAGAAAGAAAGCCAAAAACAAGTGACACTAAGACAAGCAGTGATGAAAGAAACAATCACTGAATGAGGGAAGGAGAAAAAGAAAAACACTCACTCTGTATAGAACTCCCCTACAATGGCAAGAATAATAGTTATCACTGCTACTGTGAACACATGGTAGCCGGCGCCAATACAACTGGCGAAAAGCAAAGGCATCGATGGCGCACGAAAAACATCTCCATGCACCTGTTTCCATCCGTATTCGTCACCCAGATCAGCATCCTGAATTATGCTATTCGTGATTCTTTGCCATTCAGTTATAGAAAATTCGATGAAAAGCACTTATTTAACATTAAACGTTTCCAAAATTTTCGCACTCTCACTAGCACTCGTAATAACTTTTGAAAAAGGAGTTCTCTTCGGATAGTTAGAGGCTTCATTATGAGTGATTACACGCAAAACTGTCCATTACAACTCATAACCACCTTTCTCTAGGAGCAACTAACACCTATAGGCAAGCTCCTTCCTCTTCCTCCTGCACAGGCGCAGACAATCTGGGCAAGAAACTTTCGCTTTCTTTCAACATATAATAGGCACACACAGATCAAATTACGACTTGCAACCTTCCTTCTCTCTCGGCCCTTTCCCCCGGTAACAAAGCCCCATAAATAATAAAATACATAGAGCAGATAACAGAAGGACAACTTCGTTCTTTCCCGTACAAGTTCGATTGTCAGTGTTCCTGTGCCAGTCGCCCCTTATTTGATGAAAGTACTTAAAATTGCGAATTTTCGAAAATTTAACGATACCCCGCAAAATGGCTATGACGATTCACTATTCCACTAATTGGCCGAGTTATTTCTATGCAGCATTTCTTCAAGGTGGCAAAACTTGCATCTCATTCTCATCAGTATCTCATTAAAGCTCGGTTGCCCCAGAGACGAGTTGCAAAGCAAATAACTTCGACTAAAAGTAGTAAAACCCTCAGTGATATGCGTCCTTCGGTCACATGTCAAATTTCAAAGTCGCCCTATTTCAGAAATTTCTGCTTCATAAAATTCATTAAGTTAGTACTAAGTAAACCCGCTACATAAAGTGCCACTCTTACGCCTCTTAGCTCAATAAAATATAGGGAATGAATTAGAAAACTTGATCTTTCTCTGTAATACTGCTATAGCATTTCTCGCTGGAGAACACATTTCGTTCTCCAATAAATACGAGTGCATTACAGTATGTAGTTAAAAAAACAGTCGAGTGAAAAGTAAGTTTAAGCTATACCAGGTCATCGAGACTGTCCTCCTTCTGGTATCTGGCGTAGTCTTTCCGTAGTGTTCTCACAAGGATCATCCACACCAAGCCAACAAGGAACACAACCATCATGAAACTGTTGAAAATCGAAAACCAGTGGATCTGAAATTTAGGTAAATAAGAAAATACATGAGGAGATCTAGGCTGGCGCAATATTCAGAATACTTGAAAATCTGTACGTTGAAGACATACCCTGTGTTGGAAGAAGCTTGGATCGAGGTACTTGTCGAATCTATCCGCAAATGGAACTGACGAAGCAACCCATTTAACCTGCAATTTAGCACCTAAATGCTCCAAACGCAGAATTCTTGCAAAAAAAAATTCTATGACCTCTAATGTTTATACCGAACAATGGGAAACATCAAAAAGTCAATAGCTGAACAGTAAGCCAATGATTGACTATTATAAAAGTAAAACTAATGTTTCATCCACATAACGGGAAGGAGATTAAAGTGAAATCTCATGCCACAGCGAGTTCCCCTTTGTTACCGCTACGTTGTTCAAATGTCTCCGAGAAAAGCAATGGGAAATTAGTTCCTGTATGCAAATTCAAAATATTTCTAAACTTTACATTGAAAAAACCACCACGTAGTTCATTCTTACGGAATTAAGAAGACTGAGCGAGAAGTAGAATGAAGGTTGAGAGTAATAAAAAAGAATCAATGTAGCAAACACTAAAATGGATAAATGCTCGCCTCATAAGTGAATTCCAAATCAATTCCAGGATGAATGGCTACATGACCGCCCGAAGTAAGATTGACATCTACCACCTGTAAATCACGAAGCCTCTTCATAGAACTGTTGACAGTCCCATAAACCGTAAGCATTTGTGCTAGACTTGTGTTAGCAATGTTAGAATTGCTTTATAGTGCAGCTCGACTTCAAAAAACACGTCGATCACCAACCTGCTTGTCATTGTATCCAATATCGAGCTGTTTGTGTGTGTACAATTTATAGGATGGCGGTGACACCGACTCATCAACTTCCCCAACCATGCCTATAAGAAAAAATAACAGAACAATGCGCAATTCTTTCCATAATCAACCAAGGCAGTGTGACTATAAACCCACTAAAAGATATAGAAAATATCAAAATGTCTTTGAGAAATGGGTTCGATGTAGGGAGATGGACAAGTTTAGCATGGTCAACCAGTTCCCAACAGTAAAGTAGTTTCCTGCCAATTCTTACAACTACCTATTGCGCTTAGAGTCATTAACGAAATAAGGCCATTGTGTTTGAAGAAATTCTGCATTGTGGGACTTGGCCAGGGAAATATATTTGAAATATTTACTGATTTAACGTGAACTTCAAAATACTTACCCCAAATAGGCATATCATCCAGGTACATTTGGTAGAAGTAGCTGTTCTTAATGGCATATACGAAGGTTTGGTAAGCCTCATTTGTAAGCTTCATCTTGCAAAAGACTGTCTTCTTTGTGTTCGCTAAAATTTTATGCAAATTAATTAATTCACATGAAATTGGTGAAATTAGTTGGTGTACGCCCCATTTGGGATACCCACTCTTTCAAAGCAAAACAAGAATAAATTAAAAGAAAAGAAAGTGGCAAGAAAAGAGAAATGAAACTGACTCCTAAATTTGATATCTAAGCCAGAGAAGTCAAGCTCCACCCCAAGAAGAGACTCTCCCATTGTCTCGTGATAGTGACCAATGGACTCCTTAGGTCCTCGGCAAAAGGGTAAGGAGAAGTATGCATAAGTCTCTTGCCGATTGCTGTATGGACCAACCTGCAATAGCCCATACATTATGTTAGGATGGAATAAAAGCAATAAAGTTCACATTTAAATCAAGACATGGAAATGGAACAAAAAGCTCCAATCGGCGCAACTGCGTGAATGCCCTTTCAGGCTTATTTCTTCGACTGCACTTTTTAAGCCTTACCCGAACTGATTCTTGCATTGCTGAACAAGCAAAGCCCCACCGCATAGTGGTCGCGGGGCAAAGCCCCACCACATAGTGGTCGCGGGAATGCCAAGCGAAGTTTGAGAATAGGTGTACTGTATTTCTTACATCAGCTAGTTAGACAGAGTGATCCAAAACGTGTATGATTAGTTGTTCGGCCACTTCCCGACCAATGCGGTTCAAGCACCAACAGATTACTTGTAAACAACAAGAACATCCTTCAGAACGCAATGCTAATAAACAGCTTCAATACCGGGGAAACTTAAGTAAGAGTTGATTCATAATAACAGTTTGAATTACAGTAGATAGAACATAACTTCTACTCCCAAATCCTATCAATAGAAAGGTGCCTCTGATCTCTGCTATCTGCTTATTTGATCAATGTTCTCCAGAGAGTTCAACTTTGACTGATACAGCTGCATCACATCCACTACATATCCCTAATCAGAAAGCAATGCTAATAAACAGCTTCAATACCGGGGAAACTTAAGTAAGAGTTGATTCATAATAACAGTTTGAATTACAGTAGATAGAACATAACTTCTACTCCCAAATCCTATCAATAGAAAGGTGCCTCTGATCTCTGCTATCTGCTTATTTGATCAATGTTCTCCAGAGAGTTCAACTTTGACTGATACAGCTGCATCACATCCACTACATATCCCTAATCAGAAAGAAGTAAGCACCAACAGATTACTTGTAAACAACAAGAACATCCTTCAGAACGCTATGCTAATAAACAGCTTCAATATCGGGGAAACTTAGGTAAGAGTTGATTCATAATAACAGTTTAAATTACAGTAGATAGAACATAACTTCTACTCCCAAATCCTATCAATAGAAAGGTGAAACTGATCTCTGCTATCTGCTTATTTGATCAATGTTCTCCAGAGAGCTCAACTTTGACTGATACAGCTGCATCACATCCACTACATATCCCTAATCAGAAAGAAGTATGTAGTAAAGTGACAACGGTTTAATGTCAACGATAAAAGAAGACTGAATTTGTTCGAATAATGCACTGAATTGTGTCATTGATTGCTCCTAGTGTCATTATACAACGGAACAAGTGGAAATGGTCAAACCATCATCCATTCGTTCTGGCGGACCTTTGTATACTGTACACTATGGGGAGATAAAAGTTTGATCCAATTCTTGATTTTTTTTTGCCGCAACAGCATCCGTTTATAATGCAACCGTTGGCGTTAGATGAAAAAATGAAACCGTCCCTATTGCATGGGATCTGCTTTCGTGATGGGATTTACAATAGGTCGAACTTTATTCAAAAATCGGGAGCTTAGGCCGACATCTGTTCAAACAACGCATAGCAAGGGTGCTGTTGCATATTCTCATGTCATTAAAAGAGGACCATTTGAAGAAGGGATTTCTACAAATATTCTTTGGTATTTGACTTTTCGGGGTGTACTATGCACCGTTTGAAGCTCGAATACAAGATCTTCATTGTGCTTTTTGTATATCTTATCAGTACACATGAATTTCTGAAAAGAAATGGAAATAACAGGGGACAATTGATTGATTGTCAACGATTGAAACAAAATATGCCTCCCTTGTGTGGGAATTATAATTTACACCATTCCACGGTAAAGAGACCAGCATTCATAAAAGACAATGGACACGAGCATGGGATCAGTCATTAAAATGACTAGTTGAACGCAATCCATATTTTTGGGAAAATTTGGCGTATTACACATTATGAACGCCACCTATTCTGAGGTTGGTGCTATAGAAGGGCTACACTGCATCCATCATTTTGATCCCAAACTTCGTCAAGAACTTGAATTTCACTTTTTGATCACTTTTTGAACTCATTACCTTTATTACGCCGACAGGATCTACCAAAAAAAACTGTGAAAAGACTTTGTCCAAGTGGTACACCAAAAAACCACGACAGGCAATATGGCTGCAAGGAAACGGCGAAAAATATCAAGCACTTCCTCACCTGGTTCTGGAACAGGGTCAAAACAACTTGATTCAGAAAAATGTAGCTTTTTTAGAGCTACTGAAAGTTGTTTCATGAGGAACTTCGAGGAAATATGGGTAGAACATACCTGACACCCTCTTATAAGTTCGATNCGTCAGACGGCTCTTGATAAATGTGATTTAAAAAAAGGTAAAGTATACTCACCGTATTCATCCATAAAACAACTTCTTCGTCAATTTCATACATATGATCATGTTCATCAGCTTCGACGAGGTAGGAAAGCAAGAGCAATAACCCGATCAAGAACCGACCCCGCATCTTCTGGAAAGAATCAATTCAATACAATTTCACTGATTGAGAACAGGTCCCGCTTTAAAAAACGCATTCAGGCTGCTACGCTTGAACCTCACTGGAGTCGATATGTCCAATTTCTAACCTTTATAAAAAATGAAATAAGCATTGATAATGCAGACAGAAAACAAGTTCTTGAACATTTCCAAGAGGAAATAGAAGAGAAAAACACGTAGAGCACAATATTTACATAAAAGCAGTGGACAAAACTTCATAAATCACACCAAGACTGTTGCGATTGGTTCAGAGCGAAGTTCTCAATAAAAAGCAAAAACCAAAACAAAACGATCTCGGGACCTTTCAGAGGATTCCTACAAGCAAATGGGTCAGTAACAACCGGGAAATTTTGAGCGATAACCAAAACATTACGTGGTGAATGCACGCTGTGAATATACGTGGCTCCAACGGCGAGAACTCGACCGCGACGCCGCGCGCGGCGTACGCCTTACTCACAGCTATCGGGCCGATTCTGGGAGCTTCAAACCACCAGGGATGTTGTCGTTACCGACTTTTCGCTTTCACGTAACAATGCAGTGACGATCAGATGCGAGATTAGCAAATGAGGTCGCTTAAAATGGCCCGTAAGGCGACATGCGTGGACTGCGACCCAGGAAAGTCGGGAAATTAGCGAAGAGATTTGAATACGTACTCTGTCCGGTTCTCCCAATTCAAGAACTTAGCTTTTATTCGGGTCGATATGTCCTCAGTCTTTTGCTATTATTCCTTCAGGATTGCACGCTCTGAGTTAAATCATGCCCAAATCATTCTGTTTATTAATCTGTTCTGTTCTGTTATTCTGTTTATTAACCTCCCAAGACGATCTCGTTGTGTGAGAGGCTGCAGAATAGACGTCGGGTACTACTTTAGCTAGTTTTCACTTCCTTGCTTGGATCATATGTAAATGGCGTAGTGATTCTGGGAAAAAGTCCGATGCGTGGCGCATCCCAAGACGAGTGGTGACGCCAATTTTGTACTCCCTGGACACTGAATGTGGTTTGAAGGCCAAAATAATTAGTGNTCTGATCGAAGCCCTCCATGGTGTGCGCCACGCATGCAACTTCTGCGTTGACCCACAGACATCTTAGAATGCGTGAATGACCAATACAATACTTGCAGGGTAGAGCCGAACAGTGTAGTGCTCCTATTCTACTCATCGAGTCTAGCACCAGATGGCAGTTGTGGAGGTTGGATTGGCAGATTGGGCTGACTGCTATTTGTCGTTGGATCCATGATCGGGCGTGTGGAAACAGCTCCATTGTCACTATACCATCACCTCCTTTGGGTCATTAGTTTAATACAATCCCTTCATCTCAGCCCTCTAAGTAGTAGCTTTAAACATTGCTACCACCAGTTTACCAAGGTTCGAGTCCTGTCCGAGGCTGAAGTCTCTCCCATAACCCACTATGGCTTGCTTTGCGATGGCTTCTGCATCTCCATCTGTAGTAAGACAAAACCATCAATATCATTCAAACACCTAGCCAAATCACATTATCAGCCAGCCATTTCTGCGCTAAATAGTAAGGGCTCTTCATATGGGAAACGTCAAGGCTTCAAGCGAACGACGGGTCAGCTGAGCTTCAAGATTCGTAGGGTCTAGATCCTGCACTTGAATTAATTTTAATAAAGCGACCACCCAGCTTCTTCTCCTCTAGAGGAAATGGAACTGGTCATCGTTGGAAACTTGGCAGCAATCCTCTGATAAGTCTAGAAATTACGTGTTCACCCAACATCTATCAACTCGTACTAGCTTGGTCTTTTACTACCTCAGCCTGCATGTGTGGCCTACACAATAACTTGCGATGGCCGACCGATGTACGAATCGGTGGTTTTATCGTAACAGACGAGTCTGGTTCCAATTAACCGACCCCGTAGGATGGACCTGATTGTTCTGGGCGTGTACCCATCCGGGATTTGATTATAGGACCACGCGTGGGATGAAGAGCCAGATGGCACTACAACGCCGCCCCGTGAATCGGTTCATGAGACTTACTGATCTATCCCTTTTTTCCTCAGTCCACTAGGTTCTACAATTAAGTACTCCACTATCACGCTTGTATGTTCGGGGGATCGAATCCCGGATCGATACACTCCCGGGTTAACCAAGCATTTCACCCCTCCGGATTCGATTAATTGGTACCACACTCGTCTGGGGGGAGAAAAGAACTGAAATGTAACCAGCTGGCCACGGCAAATTAATCTATAGGCTTTTTACGCATTCATCACGCCACAACGATCCTGAATGGAAGTCGAATTCGGGGGGTACATCCCATAAACGGAACCTTGCCCTTTATTTTCGCGATGTCTGGGTTGTCCAAATGCAAAAGCTACACATCGCATTTGAACTCGTTGTTAGCTGTACCCCGACTCATATACACGTAGTCGTACTCTCCACCCGTCTCATACCTTTACTGCGAATTTCCAACTTTCCGGTTGTCTCGCACTGAACCCCTCATTACATTTTTGTAGAACACATCCACCATCTCATGTCAGCCGCTTTAACATCCTTCCCACCCGGACATCTAGCGGTCAATTATGGTCCTCAAAAGAATTAACAATGGGATGCAGCTAGCCCATGCATAATGTACCATGTGGGGATTGACCCGTAGACCTCGACCTCGGGTATTGAAGAGGCGAAAGAATACGTAATGCGAAGAGCGCGCCAGACCATGAGAGTAAGGTCGTTGAAGGGCGCCGCAGCGACTCACGCGGCGCACACGCGCGGATTACTGTGTCTAGGAGCGATTGGCATTGTGCCAGCATTTAAACAACTCCGCTTCCGATCGTTTTATTGATGTTCCTTTTTTCGTTTCGGGTGGTATTGTTGGCTAGTTTACTGATCTAAGGTGGAGTACTTGGGATTTGGCTTTTTATCACTCTTTTGTGAAGCGTTCCGAACTATTGCGTATTATATTGTGTAGACCTGAACAGTTATCTTTCCTATTCATTTATTTCGATTTTCTCCTCCCCCCTGACAAGAAGGGTTCATTTTTGCTCGTTTTTTTGTGAGCAAATGACTTTATTCTGTTTTGCTCTTTTCTGAAGATTTATCTATAACATACGAAAAGGTCTTTAGTTTATGATTTGATTTTAAGATTCCTTTTTTCAACTTCAATTATTCCATAATTTTTTTCGAAGTAACAGTCATGTAAGGTACTTTCATTAAAGTCGTGTATTTAGTGTGGGTCACCTTGTGCTAGCCAGCTTCTGTTCCTTGATTTGCTCTTACATTTTTCGCATGTGTCTTCTTCTTCTAAAGTTCCTTTCTCCTTGTTCTGGTAGGTTATAGGACTAGTTTTATTTTGTGTATGGCAGGAGAGGTAGGATAGCAAGCGGACGTGTGGCTACTCCGATTTTCGATAGCTCCGAGCATACCATGCAATGGTGCTCAACAGTAAACAAGTTTGTCGAGCTAGATAAGTAGCTAGATATTCATTCGTAGTAAAATAGTCATTTATTCTGTTCAGGTTCAGTTTGGGGGAGGTTAGAGTGGTTCGTTCATCTTCAAAGCGCAATCACTTTTATCCTCTCTTTTTTCTTTTTTTTCATGCCTTTCGGAAATGCTTTGAAGGAAACGCCCATGATCTCAGGCTTACTTCACTTTCGCTAGGGCGAGTTATCCAAACAAGCCTTCGTTCGGCATTGTTTGCCATGCCATATATTGATTTTCGATTAATCCTAGCTAGGGCCAAAAGAGTTATCGAAAGAGCAGGCTTGGTATGGAATGCAGAGAATTTTCCCCGAATCGACTTTCAATTATTCGTAGCAAGGGAATTCTTGATGCTGCTTTGTCGTTCAGGTTACTTATAGTGAAACCGCTTTGTTCGGTTAGCAGGGTTAAAAAGACGGTCTCCATTACTTGAATACGAAGATAAAGATCTCAAACAGGACTCGAAATGGTACTAAAAAGAACTCGAACTTGGAGGAACATTATACCCTGCACATTGTCTCCACTTCCTGCAAACGGGAGTGCACGGCTGGAGATGCACATGTACATGACCACTGAGGTTTGTGTATGCAAACAGCAGGTAGAGGGTGAGTACGTTGGCATTTGAGATGGCAGTGTTAGACGGTTTTGGAGCCCGACATAGTCGGTTATTTTTATTGGGAATTTTCGGAAGTGTAGTTTTCAGTTTTCAAGCAGTTTCATTCTTTTGATTTCCGAAGTCAACTTTGCTTTCGCTTCTTTTTTCTCACCATTTATAGCGACTCCGTTCAGAAGAAACGGAAGCTTCCTTTTTTGTTGTTATCAGCAACGCATTTTCAATGTACGTATTCGATCTACTGCTGACGATTCTGTAGGAAAGCTCGCATTGGCGAAGGTTTCATTATAGACGGAGTGTTAGATGCTCCTACTAAGCTATTGATAGCTCCAAATGAACTATACAATATTAAGGCTGAATGATAGTGAAAGATCTATACAGGTAAACAACTGGAGAGCGGGCAGTCCGAAATGAACAGTTAGCAGCCTTCTTCATGTTTTTCCACTTAAGAAAGTGTAGTCGCTTGCTCTGGTTAGGGAAGGATGATTTTGGCCATCACACCTGTCTTCACCCGGATAACTTTGTGTTAGGAAGGCGCTACATCCGCTTTTCCATACTAACTCTGGCGTGAGCCTTTTATGGAGAGCTTTCCTGGAGAAATCTGACGATAGCCAATGCGTTGGCAGCCGCCGTGGTGTTCTATTGGACGTCCCGTGGGACACATTCAGTAAAGGCTGCAGGAGACATTCTGTTTAATGCGGCTATAGATCGACTTTGTGACATTGGCTTTGAGGGGCTCCAGTCGTTGAATTTCCAAAGGTGCGATGTCCTGCTTTCTGCTTTCCACATCTCTTCGATATTATCTTTTATCGCTTATATTCATAGAGGACCAATTTGTTGCCCGCTTATTATGGTTGCTATTCTTTCCAGGACAGCATTCCTTCTATGCAGCGAATTGAAGCTGCTATAGAATGTGCAATCAAATCTCGAAAATATAATGCTCTTGTTACGGAGACGTTTGAGCTCGCCCGTTCACAGGCTAAATCAGCTATCGAGAAAGGTCTCACTCCAATCCCTGTCGTCGTCAAAGATTGCTTCGCGTGAGTGTCTCATGGTTTCTTTTCATGCTTTAATATTTCTTCATGAGATAATTTTCTGTAATAAATTTCAAGATCTCCTCGTGGTTGGGCTTTGATCAGTATTTAGTACTTATCATAAAAGCAATATGAACAGTTTGCTTCTGAAAAATGGTTTCGTAGTCTGTTTGTCGACTTCCATATTTTCCTATCCCATACTGTCTCACTACATGATGAGCATGGCAGCTTATGTTTGTGCGCGACTTTAGTTCAGGAGGAACAGTTCAGATCGAACCATTGTTCGTCTTCTCTTATTTATTTGATCAGAAATACTCATGTCTGAGAGCTTCACTCAGCTCACGTGCCGATTACGCGCAGAAGAGCTGCTCCCTTCTTTTTTTTGTTTGGCATCAGTTTCGTTAGAGTTCAATTATCCTCTCCAAATTTGTCTTGAGAGGCTCTAATATAGCAATATATACGTAGTGATGCCATCTCTATTCACTTACAGTGTCGCCGGATATCCAATGACATGTGCTTCTCGAATGCTTGAAAACTACGTTCCACCCTATACCGCCACAGTTGTTCAAAGGCTAATCAATAAAGGCGAGGATTTTTATTTTTGATCATCTTTTCAAAATAACTTTGTTTATTTTTCATTTGTTGTTATATAGGAGGATGTGTCATCGGAAAAGCAAACATGGATGAATTCTGTATGGGTACCTCCAGTGCTCTCGGTCATTTTGGCCCGGTGAAAAGTGGTCTCACAGTTAGTTTTTCGAATCCTTCTGAGCCAATGCTATTGGAAGAAGTAATTTGATCTGGAAAACCTGTTTCGTGATAATTATGCCTCGTTAAACGAGTTTTTAGGATAGGGTACACATTCAGATTTGGGATTTGAGAGTCCCAACAACATAGCTCCTTTTTCAGTACTCGTGTCATTAATTTCTTATGAGAGCTTTTGTCAAGCGAGGAGCCAACGCTTTACTTTGATTAAATAAATTGTGACTTTACTGAAGGAGCACTCGAAAGATACTCTAAATTGCATCGAATTTGCTCTTTATGTACTGCTGACTATTTCTAAATGTGTCGATTACTTAGGTTTTTTGGTTTTTTGCAACAGTATTATATGGATTTTTATGGGTGAGCTTTCTTGATTTTCATTAAAGGAGGATGTAGAGAACGACTGGATTGTACCTGGAGGTTCGTCTGGTGGGTCTGCCGTTGCTGTCCATTTGGGAATGGCTGATATGTAAGTACTGTGTGTATTTGCTTATACTTTCTTCCCTTCTATTGAAGAATTGGATCTTTCACTATCAAAGAATCTTCTTCAATAGATGATTTTGTTTTGCTTGTGGATGTTCTTACCACCGATGTGTCGGACTGAATAAAAGAAGCTGATTACAAGAGCTTAATGAAATAGCAATGATACGGTTGATAGGGACTACTTGAATGCCTTTCAATAGGATACTAATTACTTCTTTTTAAGAGGCCTTGGTTCGGATACTGGTGGATCTTCGAGAAATCCAGCTGCTTTCAATGGATTATTTGGCCTCAAGCCTACTTATGGAGTGCTGTCACGGCATGGCTTGGTTCCATTGGTACGGTTCCATATTGTATCATAATGGTCACGTGGAAGTTTCAATAGTCTTGTTGTTGTAGGTTAATTCCATGGATGCACCGTCCATTATCTGTAAAACGGCGAAAAAATGTTGGGAATTTCTTGGTATGTCAATTTTGAGTTGCTCAGTGCAATTTACAAGTTTTCGCCCTTTTTTTGAATTAATTGTTTAAATTTAATTTTTGAACAGTTCTAGACAATTTTTCCAGGATCTATGACTGGCATCGACCAGCACGACTCAACTACTGTTGAATTGCCGTCTACGAGTCGAAAGTCCGACTTGAAAGGTTTACGCATCGGAGTACCGAAGGTGCTTTTCATTTTGATGACTGCCTTTTCGTTCACTTTTTTGACTTTCTTGGGGTAATTTCTTCACAGTCACTGCTCTATTACTGAGTCGCTTTGAAATTACAAATTTCCCTGATTGGATACCTTTTTTGTCGCGAATCGTGTCAGGAGTTTGAAACACAAGCAATTTATCTGTTTTTACTGGATAGTGCTCAGGTTTTAGGAATACTATAACGAGTTTTTGACGGACGATGCTTGGAAAGTTTGGAACCACGCTGCCAATTTGTTGCAGCAACAAGGTGCTATCATCGAGCATGTTTCGTTGCCTCACACAAAATATTCATTGTTGTGTTACCAGGTCCTCTCTGCAGCGGATATAGTGTCTAACATGGCTCGGTGAGTTGAAGCGCTCGTTTCTGCCGAGTGTTAGGTTTTTTCCTTTTTGTCTTTTTTTATTAGAATTTTTTTGTTTTCTCAATGTTATCATTCGATCAACCCATATTAGAGATTTCATTTCTGAATCTGCTTTACAACTTGATAGTTGGATGATGATCTCTAAGTTCCAATTTGAAAGATGTGAGGTACCGCGAAGATGGAGGGTTTGAAACACAATCTCTTCTTTCGAATAATGGAACCATAATTCTGTTCAGATACGTTGGTATTGGTTTTGGTCACCGCTCTGATAAGGAAACGTCGACTTTCGATTTGTATGCGTCAACGCGAACTGAGGCACTGAATAGCGTCGTAAAAGCAAGGATCATGGCCGGAAATTACTTCCTTATGAGAGAGTGCGTGTACAAGCCTTCTTTCTACAATAGCAGAATTTCATGCTGTTTTCTTTCCCTCCAATTCGTTTCATCTTTGCTTTCAAAAACCTGAGCTCTTGCAATGTATTATACAATACAAAATGCTCCAAAACGCTTGGTAATTCGGAGGACCCTACTTTTATTATTGTAGAGGGGGTTCTAGGACAGGTAACGCTAGTAATTTGGTGGTAATTTGCTAGTGCTGGTAATTTTCTTCGACATTTCTTTCGTTTTCTTCACTTTTTTGTGTTGATATTCAAGTACTCGTAATTTAGGTACCGCAAGGAATTCTATGATCGAGCGTTAAAAGTTCGTAGGGTTATTGCTGCGGAAATGTACGATGTTCTGAAAAGGGTGGATTTGCTGTTGACGCCTACTGCGACAGGAGCTGCTCCCCGTTTTTCGGATCATTACAAGGGTTTCTACAAGAGGGAAGATCACGACGATTTCTATACTCAGCCGACAAATCTTGCTGGTAAATTTTCCTCTTCCTAAAAGAACTTATACTTATTAGTATTCTTACTGATATTTATCGGTAAAGAGTAGTTTGAATTAACCTAGTAGTTGCTCGCTTGCTACATCGAGGGTAGTCGAGCATCATACCGACAGTGAAGACATTTGTCGGCGACTCAATGTGATCATAGTACATTTCGAGAAGGGTGCATACATTAGATCTCTCATTTCGCAAATGGTTTTTAAAATGGCGGCATGGCTAGTTAGTCGCAGCCCGGCTGGAATACCGCCAGCAATTCCCAACTTCTCTTTAAGACTCGATTTTTTGCATGTTGCTAATCCGGATCTCCCTTCTGCTTAGCCTGGGTTTAAAAGCATAATAGTTTCGGAGTTGTGAAAACTGAGGGGAGGTAGAAAGATGTTAATAAACGTTTACAAGCCTACTGCCCACCGAAAGAATGCGCGATACTTCTCTTTCCTGATCAACTTTTGGTAGGTTGAGACAGATCTACGAACGAGTTCAGCATCACCAGAACGTTTCGTTTCATGATTCACTGTGAATCTCAACTTCTTTTGTTGCTGTAAATAAGTAGAGGTTTTTGATGTTATACATCTTCTTTTTCCGATTATTCAAAAATCTTATGACTAGCTTTTTCAAATACAAGATGTTTTTACGTGATAGAAGTGGTGTAGCGACTTCTGGAATCGAATTAATGCCAGCAATTTCTTAATTGTTGGTTCGGAAAAGGTTTAATTGTCGATTCACAGTAAAAGTGGGGAGTTTATCGCAATCCTTGAGGATTGGTTGATGCTGAGGCTCGTTATCTTTTCGCCGTCTTTGTTAGTTTTCCCCCAGAAATTATTCGTCGAAGGAAGTTATGCTCTTGTTTTGATCCTACTATTTCTATTCATACTTTTTCTTTCAATTACAACTAAAGTCCACATGAGGTGATCTCGGGAAGAAAAGTTCGAACGGATTCATCGAGAAATGTGGGAGTCGAAGTTTTTTTTTTATCTCGGAGAAATCGGAAAAGTAAAGAGTGGAACTTGTTCCGATCACGGTGGCTCTTGGAAAAGACAGAACATAAAAGTGGCAGCAAAAAAAGAAAAGACAGTAGATAGGGGGATGCGGGTCAGCTCGGGTTGCGCCAAAAAAAAAACAGTATTGCGACGTATTCGCTGTCTTTATCAGTGTAACAATTAGATGAGGCACGACTGGCTCCAAAAACGGATTTTTTTGACTGAGGTTCATATTGTGGTTTTTTGTAGGTCTGCCTGCCATTTCGGTTCCATGCGGGTCCAGCTCGGACGATTTGCCTATCGGAGTTCAACTGATAGGCAACCTATTGCAAGATAGACTTGTGTGTGATGTCGGTCAGCAATTGTATGACGCTGCTGAAGATAATGGGGGAACATGAAATAGGTTTCATTGTAGAGCGAAAATGTACTTTGATGTGAAGGTCACTCCTAATATTGGGGGGTTACCTTAGGTAGAGTCGAAAATGCAAACTTCGAGCGGAGAGGTATGTAATTGTTATGTATTCAATTGTTTGTTAGTGTTGAAACTAGTAAATGCCTTTTTCATTGTCGTTTTGGAGAGATATGTTTCTGTCTGCTTTTTGCAGTTAACTATCATCCATGTTTGTATAATTGCTTTCGGAAATGGTTTGTTAATGGGAAGTTAACTTTCAAGAATTGCTGGCGCGCACCCGTTTTTATTGGCCAACCGTTGGTCACACTACACTCAGATCGTTCAATGCCATCATGTATTCCCTCCTCATCAGGAGGGTTTTCGTCATCGTCGCTGATGGCCGCGATGCTGTGAGTTGCGCTTATCTTTTCAGTAGTGTAGGGTGTGTGTGCGTGTGTCCGTGTGTGTGTGTGTGGTTCGGGTGTTCTCGAAGGCCATTTGTAGCCGCGTGCCGAGTGACATTGCTAACTGACTGCACACACGTCTTTCTCTCCAGTTGTTCGCAGTCGAAATTTCTACGCCAAACAGGTATCATATGAGTTTTAAGGATGCAGTGATTTTCGGCTCTCAGTGTTATGATACAATTCAGCACAATATCTCACGTTTTATTTTTTTTGGTCTTCTTCCAATTTTCACTGTTTCTTTCTCAGAATGATGCCGTTTGGTCACATGAGTATCGATTTGATCCATGACGACCATTTTTACATTTTTTTTCATGCTCGGTTATTATATCATAAGATTTACATGTGTTTCGTATCATTTTTAACTAATTTCACGTTCATTTTCGAGTCAATTGTCGCGTAGCACGTGCAGCGTCATTTTCCTCCCCATCCCGTATATCTCGTACGGCGATCGCCCCGTAGGTTTCTCCGATTGAGTTTCTTTTTCGCCCCTCGTTCTGCGCGTTGTATTCGAATAGTTTTTGTTGATGGAGCGACCGCTTCGGCTCTTATGAAGTCGCGTTCTCATTTCGTCTTTTCATTCCGGTGATTCGGCCGCTCAACACGAAGGCTATGTTTCATCTGGTTTTCTTGTTATCTCCTTTGGCGTGTGTCGGTGTCCACCGTTAGGGAGTGATTGCCTACGTCAGTCACCTTTCATTGCAACTTCAGTTTTGCAGTAGGAGTATGATGGTTTAAATGCCTAAAAAGAGCCGTAGTGTCTTCTAAGGCATCCCATTTGCTCCTTTCGTGTCCTATGTCAAGCGGTTGAGTGGGGAAAGGGAGCCGTACATATTGGAAGGGGCCAAGAAAGAAGGATTAGTTGATGGCTTATGGCTCTAATGCGGCTGCAAAAGAAAAGTTGAAAGTCGGAATGACTTCTGGCTTCCCTTCAAGTTCTCTGTCGCACTTATTTTATGAAACTGAATTCCTTGAGGTGACTGTTTCTGTTTCTAACATGATTTTGTTTGCAAAACGTCGAACGTTTCTCTCTGCTCCGTGGCTGCTGAATCTTAAAATCATATTGAATAATCATTTTCCCTGCAACATTTTGTGCAGATCAATCGATTCAAATGTAAGAATTAACAACATAACGACATGCGTGAAGATGGGAGCGTCTACTCCCATGAGAGCTGAGACTTCTCGTTGTTTTCAGCTTCCCTAATTGGCTTGTCCCGGAATTGTACTCATCCTTTTCTTCCATTCCGACTTTCCTTTTTGGCTTCTTTTTACCACTGTTTTTTTTTGAGCTTTTTTGACTTGGAGAGCTTTATAACTTGCTGTTTTTTATTCTTGTGCAGATTACGGCGCCACAAAGTTTCGCATACGGCGTCATTCATCCGTGTAGTTCTTCAAGGAACGACCGCACTCTATAAACTGACAGTAGAGGATTACCGCGGCGTGGTTTCAGGAATAATTTTCTGGAGAAACTCGACGTCTCGACATGAGAATTGTTTTCGTTTGGGCATACCCCAGTTTTATTACCACGTGGGAGAAGAGGCTCAACAAAAGCTTCGTAAGAAAGTACGACAAACTTAGTTCATGCCAGGCAAACGACACAAACAAGCACGTGACTGAACTGAGACTACACTTTCACATCCAGGCCATTCACACTTCTGCCAAACGCCGACTACATTTCACTGGTTCACACCACGAGGATTATCATTTCCAGGCGAACTTCGAAATTAAGTTCCATGTCTGCGGCATACATAAGATGCATAGAGCTTTGTCGGCCTATGACATCCATAATTATGACGCCTGTTGTAGAGCTTCGATGATAGTACCTCACAATTTTTTTGAGGACAATAATTGATAATTTTCTCTAATATTTTGGCTTACATTCGTGGGCTAAAACGTTTTTTTTTCTTGAATATGGGTTTTTTTCTGAGACTTCTCCAAGATATGCATCATTTTCATTTCCAACTGTGTTAGCTCGTCTTCATGAAGCTGATGATGAATATAGTCTTTCCAAAAAAAGGTCCCTTTTTTCATGAGTTTTATTATAATGCCTCATTTTCGCAGCGATGTTGACAGATCGTATTGCTAGTCTTTCCGTTTTAGTGGCAAATATACTATAATAATAGTAGTCATATATTAAGGGAAGTGTTGAGAGCGAAAGGCAATTTGCAGCAATTCGTTTGGTTTATCAGCGACCGATTGCTAGCAAGTCATAAAGCAGTGGTGCCGCGCGAACTTGGTTGTAATAATGTAAGCACTTGGCTGGCCGCGAGAGCGCCTCGATTTCCGACATGGCGAACAATATGGCATCTATTTCATTTGGTGCTAGCCACCCGATACTGAAAACACCTGAAAAAATTGGCTCAGATGTATTTGTACCTACTGGTCCCCTTTGATTGACTGATAATCAATAGTAGTGCTACGGCAGAGCAGCCGGCAACCGAATTCATAAAACAATTGGCCTCCAGAAAACTCTCGGTGCTCGCTCTTTACAATTTCAGCGAACTCATGGTGTTGTGATTGATTGCGTATCCGCAGCTTCCCAAGAGTTCTTTCGATTAAATTCCATTAGGTGCTTCTCAACTAGTGAAAGTTACTTTATCTTTTCATCTTCACTTTTTTTCTAGTGCATACTTTTTGACTAATCATCGCTGCCTTAGACCCTGGTAATACTCTACTCGTTACTTCTCGCTCGTTTTTCAGGGTAATGTTCGTTCTGGAATAAAAGTTATCCTTTCAGGTAGAAACTGATATGCAAATTTTGTAACCACTGGATTTGGCAGCATCATCATTCTGCTAATTACTCTATTCACCTACCACTTTTGCAATAATTATGTCGAATTTCTCGCCATATTCGAACGTAAAATGCGAACCGCAGCCGTCAACGAGCACAGCCAATGAGACACCATTACCAGTAAGTTGAAACTTTTCATTATCCCGTCCTAGAGCAAAAATGAGGCGCTCGGCTCTAATGTTCTTTTTTTGGCTTACGCCGCGTACTTTCATTCAGAGTCGTTAAGATTCAACTGTATATTACCTACACGTTCTCACAGAGAACAGCATGGTCGTTGTTTAGATTGGCCTACCAATAACGCCAATTGGATCCACCACGACCCTCAATTTGCACTAAAGCGCATTGGTATTGATAAGGCCCGATTGCTTCGAAAAAATGAAAGCTGTAAAACCTACCACACCTTTTACGTGTGGTGCTATATTGGCGCAGTCGGATAACTAGATATGCGTAAAGGAAACATAAACAGTCGTCATTGATATTATTACTTATTTGGCGCTCATTGGGCAGAATTTCACTACATTTTTCATTTTTTACATTTTCCGTCAAAATTTTTCAAATTTTCAGATTTCATTCATTAGGAAGTATGGTTAGCCTTTATACACCTTTTGTCTCTTTTCAGCTGAGCTCACCATGTCATCCATCACCGGCATTAGCTCGTTCAGTACCGTCGTCTCAGGAAGCAACTTCGCCGTCAGAAACCGCTGGCAAAGATTTTGTGTTTTTTACGTACGTCACATGTCGTCATCATTGCAGTAAGGAGGATGGAGCGTCCTCCTCCTCCTCACTGCTGCCCACATTCATCATCACATTGTTCAGAGCGTTGTTTTTTTCAGAACAGAGTTAGCAAACCAGGCTGCACTGGATTTTGAAAAAGAGCGTTTTGACAGCCTTTTGGAATGGCATATAAAGTATCGTAAACGTAAAGAAGCCGAACGAAATGCTGATGATGTGGTGTCGGAAAAACCCTCCAGTTCAGTTTCAGCGGAGTCGACTCCGATCGAGACATCCGAGAGGAAGGCGGAGAAGAGAAAGGCCGAGGTATGACTTGCCATCATTCTTAGGTTAAGTCTTAAGCCAAAATGCAGTGTTTTTGAAGCATCTTAATGTAAACGTAAGGTGAAAGGATGTCATCTGGATTGAAAAAAAAACCGCAACATTCTGTAGAAGAGAAGCGAACATTTTTTCTTCATTTTTTTGCGAAATAATCTATTGCGGACATTTGCTGAATAGAAACAAATTCAGAGCGATCCTGAAGATCAGGCCTCTAAAAAGCCTACCTATATGGATCTGAGTGCCCCGGATGCTTCTGCTAAAAAGGTTGAAGAGACGCCGTTGAGGTTTGTTTGTTTGCAGATCCTCTTTTTTCACTTGAATTAAAAAATCTTGAAAGGTTTGTTCAGGAGAATGGAAATGATGACAAACTCTTCGGCATTTAGCACATCGTCAAGTATAAATGATGTAGTAGAGGCGCCTACAAATGGGGTCTGTAAAAAGTAAGTTGGAGGGGAGTTTTTTTTTTGGGGTTGTGCCACCATTTCAACCTCATAGCTCTCTCCCCTTTTGCATCTTTTCTCATTGACTCATGGTTTAGGGACGAGCGATCGGTGAAGCTGGAGAAGCTAGGTGAGATGGAACGGCAAGTTGAAGCTGAGAGGTTGCGTATTGAATGGGAAAAGGAGGTGCAAGCGCACGAGGTTTGTATTCCCAATCGATTCTTTGTTGCAACTATTTCCGCTGAATCAATTGGGCTATTTTTAGATGAAGAAACTTATGAATAGTCAAGGAGTTTCACCGTATCCTTCCCCAATGTACCCTCGGGGTCCGGCGCAGGGTTTGTTGTTTTCTTGTTGAAAGCGATTAATATTTCGCGAAAATGTATTTGAAATGTAAATGAAAATGTCTGTTATATTCAGGTCCGTATCCGATGGGTCCTTACCCAACTCGGTATCCTCCTGGTTCTGCGCCGTATCCGATGGGAAGCATGGCATATCCACAAGGTTATCCCAATGGAACAACTGCCTTTCCTCCAGGTAACAGTATTGGAAGTGTTCTTGGGTTCTCTGGGCTATGTTGAATCAAATTAGGGTTTAGGTTACCCCATGTCGGCTCCTGGTAAATCTCAGATCCCATCTCCTGCGTATATTGGAGATCCTATGTCGTTCAAAGGAGCTGCTCCCCCTCCAGGAATGAGTCCACATCACCCGATGTATGCCCACATGATGGCTGCAAGAGGTGTGATTGTTCAGTGAGAACTATTTTACGCAATCTTGAGAGTTGTATTAATTTAGCATCTGCGGGCATGCAGTCTCCTGTGCCCGGACCAGGATATCCAGGTGACCCCAGTCGATTAGGCTTTCCAATGCAAGGACACTCACCTTCAGCTAGTCCGTTCTATCCAGGCCCCTTCCCTCCGCATCCGTATGCGCAAATGCCGTATGGACATCCAGGAATGTCAAAGGTGAGAATTATCCCTTTGATTGAACTTTTTTTCTCAGTATACGGAATTGTCTGAAGAGAATCACCAGCCATGTTTTGTAAGAAGTTCAGGTGCAATAGTGTCTTGAGAATTCTAATGGGACTCTTCTCCCCATTCGGTAATACGGAAGATTATAGGCATTAAGAAGACTTTCACCGCGCACTTTTTGTCTGTCATCTCACTCGTTATAATAGCGCTTTTGCATTTCATAAAAGGCAATAAAATTTGATTATTATTAATCAGACATCAAGGCTAGACTATGACTAAGAGTTCTTGAGTGGAGATAGGTTTGTAGCCTACAAAGTCCGCCCCATAACTTTGCAGCGAACTTTCTGAAAAACTTCTACCTGGCTGGATTCGAGTTGCTAATACTGTCGACTGGACTATGGCCTCTCAATGTAAATTTTTTTTAGACGGCAAATTTTCTATGAAGCCTTTTTTTCAAGGTTCAACGTATGAGGGAAATTGTCAGGCACTGATCCCGACTACTCAAAAGTGGGCCAGCTTAAATACTGTGCATGGTTTCTAGTGTAAAGAATAGTTGCTCCGCGAAGTAAGGGTGGAGTTATGGTGGACTGCGGATTATAGGTTGTGCTAGTGCTTCGTTAGTCACCGGTGGCTCGACCTCGTTCACCTGACTCTACCTAATTTGACGGCTGTACATGGATTCAATCACTCATTTTTGAATTGATGTCTTTTGGTCGACTAAATCCTATTTAGTTGGATCGAAGTGAACTATTCCTGATTCCAGTGGGTCAAGATAGGTTAATCGAAATCGGGGGATTATCACGTTCATGTTATACCCTCATACGGAAGTCTATACAGTACCAATCGGAATCGGGGTATAAACACGTCCTAAGTAATTTGGACGCGTTTATACCCCGATTCCGATTAGTACGGTATAGACTTCAATATGAGGGTATAACATTACGTACCACTATATGGAAGACTAGTTCGCACCAGTAGGTCCGTGATAAGACCTGAGAACTATGTAGTAGATGTAGAATTAAGTAGGAAGTGAGGCAGCACAACGGCGGGAAGTCATACCTCAGCATGGACCCTCCAGTGCAAATTGGGAAACATTTTCAAGTGTTGTGATTTTTTTAAAAATTTTATTCAATTTCATTTGTTATTCAATACTCTTGATATGAGGCTTGTTATCTGATAATGTGCGTTTAAGGGAATGGTACCACCCCCGCCGTATCCATTTCCGCCGGGTGGAATGATGCCAACTGGCCCAGGAATGCCGTCCAACCCAGGTGCGTTGAATTTTGCAATTTTTCGTGCAGCTCATGAGAACGAGTAGCCATTGCCAGTTGGTTTGTCTTCGGGAGTACTTCTGAAACGTTCGCTTTTTTAAAGAGGTTCAAAAATTAGGTTTAGTTACGTACTCTAGGCGACAGCCGTTGCGTTGTATTGGTGTTTCTATGTAATTTATCCTCAAAAGTGCTGATGAACTGGTGTTGACAGTTGGCTACTTCCGTGTTATGTGTCGCAAACACATTCGTCTTGCACTTTGTAGGACCCCTCACAAACATTACTGGGATCAGAGTTGATGATACTAAATATTCTTGAAGATTGCCGACGGAGCGCATGTAATAGTCAGTTTTAGAAATTAAAATCGCTACCAAGATGTGAGCTAGGGGTCGCTAGCCTGAGTTTTGTATAATACCAATGTCTTGAAAATTTACAAAAAACCTTTATCAAGAAACTCAAAATTGAGCTCAAAGGTATCGAAAATTTCGAGTATACGGAGTATTCCAAGCTTTCTGGTTTAGCGGTCGTGGTTTCTGATTATTTTCTTCAGTACCATTTTCTTGAGAGTTTGTATAAGTATATATACGAGATTTTTTGAAAGGAATTTATGCATGTTTCAGGAATGATGAGAAGCGATGCGATGGGATGGCAAGGAGGTGCGCCACCAAACTATCCGCCATCGTTCCCTACCGTTCCTGGTGGACCCACTCCGCCAATACCATGTCAGCATTTAACGCCACCGAAACAGGGTTTAGCCGTCTAGAGTATGATTTTTTTCCTGGTTGAACCTGGACTGGGATGAACAAATCGTCATAGGCAGTAGTAAGGGCTGCGAATAGGATTGTCATTGTCATGTCATTTGCCAATCCGGGAAATATAGTCGCTTTGATTTTCAATGCCAGTCTGGGCGGGGCCAAGTGTTTCAGTGAGCAATTTTCATCGGTACCAATGTACATTTTACCTATGAACTTATAATTGTGCATGAAACTTTAAACTGAACAATAAATGCGAACTCCACGCCCCTCCCTCTTACTGAGCGGTTAAATGTGAATTTGAGATGGAAATTTCTCGACGCATCCTTGGCCTTGCTCCAGAATAGGGTTCGGTAAATGTAACGGTACACAAGGTCTGGACCCCCTTTGCTTCACTTTCTTTTTGATTTTCTGTTATTGAACAGAAAGCAGCGATTTCTTTGGCAGCTTTGGAGCCAAACAAATCGACCCTCTTATTTAGTCACCGGTTTAATACGAGCTCATCTGATCTCTCTGGGATTTCGATCGATTGTTCTATTTTTCATATTAATTTTTTAGTATCGATTAATGTTTGAGATATGGTCAAAAAGCGTGAAAACGTTGCCGTTCGCTTAGCTAAATAAATAGTTCGCCACAAGCGAGCTTTCGTAACTCAAGGATCTTACTACATAGTAGGTTGTCGTAAATAAAAATTGCGCGCTACGCAAATAAACAAATGTTTCATTTCTATTTTTAATTAATAATAACGTGATTTGCTCAATCAGTCTATTATGCTATCGATTGTTTATGTTCGCAAATGTGTTCGTTTGATGAAAAATAACGCTGATTATTGCCTATGGATTGTAAATGTACTTGTAAGGTAATAAATGGTAATTGTCAGTATAAATCTGGGATTTCGACGATTTTATTGATTCGGTTTGTTTCCAAATTCTTTGTTTCTCTGTTTCTCCAGGAATTGATGTTCGGGATGAATGATACTTTTATTACTGTTTTTTAAATGTTTTTCTCGTGAGTGCTCTGCTTGATTTTTTCTAATTTTTTGAACAAGAGCCTCATTCTTTTTCGAGTCAGTTTTAGTACAGAATCCTAGATTGACGCTGTTATACTCGTAAAGCCTTTTGGATTTCTCGATTAAGATGAAGTTTCTCGCGTAGACCTTCTATAGGTATGTGGCTGGGCGTGGCTTAACCTCTTTAGGACATAATTAGAAAAAAGCTTTGATGTCTGTTATGTAGGTGGTATTATATTTTCCCTTGGAAGCGCACTAGAACTTCAGGAAGTCGTTTAGCATCGGCTCATTAGGCTTCGTTAATCTACAGAGGGGCGAAACTAGTGAAGCGTCAAGTGGCATTCTGTCATACAGACATGGTCTGAAGATCGAATTCCTGGAACAGGAACGAAACTTCAGTCCGGCACTCGGTTCTTACAGTAATCCGGCACGTGTTAATACGCATATTTTTACCCGTCACATATACGACGCGTCGAAAAGGGGCTATGGGCAAGGACACGGGGGTGGGTGGTCGGGTAAGCCAGGGGGTTACTGTAAGAGCCGAGTGCCGGACTGAATTTTCATTTCAGTAATCCCTTCCTGGGCGGTCTCCGCCTAGTCCAACCAGGCCCCATCTCCCTCCCAGGGTTATTTGGGGCCAGATTCGTTTGGGTTTGGGAGGATTAAAGCGTTGAATTGTACATCGGCTGACCTGCGCAAAGCATTGTGGAGGCCTATACGTATTCAGACCGCCACTGCGATCCCGCCTTTCAATCGAGTGTGGGGCGTATGCCAAAAACGTGTTATGTAGGTCTAATGATTTTGTCCTTTCTTGTATTATATGATACCGAATTATATTGCATGCTGCTAATTAGAGCAGATGAATCGTTTTGAAAACGGAGGATTCGCATTGGTTTTCTACCCTTCTATCCTTCGCCGTGTGATTGGCACGCGTTACTTCGCGGTTTTCGAGTTTGTTGAATGGAACGTTCAGTTCATTAGCGTGGTGTTTCGACTGAATCGTTTTTTTTTCAAAGAGGGGAGGTTTTATCGTTCAAACGAACTATTTCGCTATCGCATACATCTGTCTACCGCTCTGTTGTGGCAGCGGAATCCTTTACTCAAACGGTAAAACCGCTGGCCTTCAAACACGATGATTCAATCAAAGTCGGGACAATTTAGTGCCTATTTCATCGAACAACTTCGTATTACACAAAATATCAGCTAGTTGTTTCAGTAAGCATTTTAGTAATTCGCTTTTGATACATAAGGTTGTTTCTATACTTGGCCAAGTCAAGAACACTATATGGGTAATTGTTATGGGCTAACAATGGACCTAATAGTAACATGCATAGGTTACTATTTTACTTATTAGTATGGGAATGGCTTGCACTAGCCTTGCACTTTACCTAAGCCGACTGGTTAGAGCACTGGGAGGGAATCGGCCATTTTCAGTGAAGAAAAGCACATTTCGAGATTGTATACTGCCCCTAAGCTGAACCTAGGTTTCCTTGACATCCCCTAGACTCTAATTATTCGATGTACTGATAGGATGACTTCAGTGTCTAAAAAGATTCGATGGGTCGAAGGTTCCCATAGATGGAAAATGTGATCTACGTATGAAATCAACGTTTGTGACACTCCACATACGGAAACTTCATCCGTTTTCTGGTTTTTCAAACTGGAACTGAAAAGTCTGGACATCTTCAGCTGACTGGGCTACGCTCATTCTGGACGGTCACACGGTACTTCAGCGTTTAAGAGATCAGGGTTGTAGTTTTTCGAAAGACTACACTTCCATAAACTATCTATTAATTTAGCATATCACCAGTTCGACCTGAAAGTTCTCCCTACCCACAAAGTGCACTTTGTAGCAATGGAAACGAGCTGTTCGTTAATGAGCGCAGAAGGGATGCGAATGTTGCAGAAAAAGACGAAATCGTGAACCAGCGCTGCTGCCGCCTTTGCTTTTTCGCAAAACAGGTGCACTGGATTTTTCCCAGGATTTTATGGATGCTGGGGCTAAAACGGAGCGGGACCACATCCTCTTGGTTGGTATAAATAAAATCTGAATAATGAAAAGTAGTCAGACTCCGGGACAGGAAATCGAGGTCGAGGCTCCACCTACTTGCCAAAAGGAGATCCACCTAGCTGTTCTGTCTTGAGGACGGTTATTAGGTCCGATTCCGGGCTGTGCCCAGGCAAAAATGCCAGGACGACGCATTTTCACTGTGTCCTCAGTGTATCCCCAATACAAACTCCTTTTTCCTATATCCGCTTTCAAGATGAATGCTCATCAGCAGTTTCCAAATATGGGATGCGTTTTGCAGAAACAGGGTGCTGTAATGATATACAAAACCGGACTCAATGTCATAGAGTAGTTTTCCCTTCGTTTTTCAGTGAAACTTGTTCAAGAGTTGTAGATTTTATCAGAAGAATAGGTGCAGGTGGCAATTAAGAAGCAATCAATGCGAGTGGAACAATCTGCAAACGCCACGGTACAGTCACTTTCGCTCTGGGATGCGCCACGCATCAGGGCATAGGTATATTAGCAACATGATGAATGAGAGCCTAGTTTTTCCGAAGAATTGTGGGATTAGTCTAAAGGGAGGTCGGTGTTTTTGTTTTCTGACAGTAGGAGGAGCCCAGTAGCTCTTCCTGATTTCCGGGAGGCTGGAAAGTTGGACTATTTGGGCATTTTTTTNTTTTTTTTTCTTTGACATCGATGTAATCAATCAATAATTATTCTTTTTTTATTCGGGAAAAGCAAAAAAAACTGTGACACAATAATGACATAATCAAAACAAAGTCTAAAAATGCTTGGCATGGCACTTGAAATGTAAATGGGAAGACTAGGACGGTAGGGAGAGCTGCTGCATACTGTCATTCTGGCACTATTGGCTACCACTTTCAAGAGATAAACCTCCAAACCAAGAGAAAACCGTGCTGCACGGACAAGATTCACTGAGATACAAAATTCGCCGTATGTACAAAATTCTTGATGAAATCTTTGCGGATGTGATCCGGTTTATGGACTTCATGAAAGCGTGGAAGTGGTCAAAAAATTCGATTAGACTTTTTTCGGTCGTCGTCGTACTTGTTTTGCTGATTTTGTGGATTCCTTTGACGTAATTGTGGACTCAGCCGGTGGCGTGTTCTCTTTGACGTTGTGGTTTGCCGATTTGCCTTTGGTCTCCTTCAGTAGCTCCTCTTCTGAAGCGTCCTCAGCCTCTTCTTCAGAATCTTTCGATCTTTTCTTCTTTTTACCAGAGTCCTTTGTGGGTTCTTCTTCCTCGTCCTCCTCCTCGTCTTCGTCCGACCCTGAGTTTAACTCTTCTGAGCTCGTTTCATCCTCCTCTGATTGAGAATGGGACCCATGTCGACGGAGGCTTTTCTCATCTTCATAAGCTTCCGATAAAATCTGAAATAAGCCCCTATTAGAAAACACCGTGTCTGAGCTTCTATGAACGACTTTTACAAGAAAAGGTCTATCCAAGAAGCAAGCGGATCAGGAATGACTGCGCTAACTGAGCTTACCTTGAAATCTCTGAGAGCCTTTTCCAAATCGTTGATGTATTGCTCATTTTTCGGATTCACCTCATTTGCACCTTCCGTTTTCTGATCTTCTTTGCCTTCACTCGGTACATCTTTCTTTGGCTGCAATAAAAGCTTTATTAATCGGAGGGAACGGAATCGAATCTAGTGAAAGTATTATTTTGGGTGTGAGAAAACTTTCTTGTCAATCTCTTGATGCTGGCAAAATGACAGAGGCTTCCTCTCTTTTTCCCCAGTCCCTTGAAAGAGCGCGAACGGGTGAGGACGCATCGTCCCGTTAACTTCTCATCTCGCATAAAACATGGTACAGGCTGATGTTATTGTTACTGTTAGTTACAACCCTCGTTTCTGTTCGAGGCGAAAGATCAACAAGGATTACTACCTAGGAGAGATCTTGGAGAAGAAGTTGTGATCCCGCACCTCCTCACAAGACGACTACAATCTGAAAGTTGCGTCGCGAGAAGCTGCCCACCTTCTTCTTGACTAAAGCATGTCCCTCCGCCTGCACTGGACGACGCCGGATTTGAACTATTTGCACTAAGCGATCTATTGGGTTGTCCGAAAAGTTCCCGCCGATTTTCGACACCCCGGACTTATCAACTGTTGCACAAAAGATCATGGACCCAACCTCATAAAGTTATATGTTTTCTGAAAGAGTAGGTCCTCCTCTATATTCCTGTTAGGATTCCGTCAACATTTGTCGAAGTTTTCCTGTACAGGACTCGTATGAAAATGGAGAATCACTGCGCGCATTTTCGGCAGCCGAAGTATTTCTTCTACCGCAAGGCCTAGAGTGCGGCTTAAGCCGCAAGAAAGATATATGACGTTAGAGTAAACCATGCTCTAGAAGATCGTGCAGTGCGTGACTAGTTTGCGAAATCCAATTGGAGTGAATTCACCTTCGAAGACCGGCAACCTTCAGGGAGACTATCATCATTTAAACGACCAAATCAAAATGTTAACCGAAG